TGGAAGTTTGTGCAAAAGGTATTTGCTTGCTAACAGAAAACCAATATAACATAAAACCCGTACTGTAGGTGTGCAAGATTGTAAAAAGATTAAATATATGATTAGAAAAAAAAATCAAATCTAAAGATTAAAATTTCATCAAGATAAACATTAGTTCTATACTAATGAAACTTCAAAAGGCTGATCATTTTATAGCTTCAGTGGAGTATTCTGTAATTTTTACTAATGTTATTTTAGGGATTCTTTAGCTATTACAGTAGTATTTCTTAATTCAGAGTATTGGGATATTACTGTATGGTCTTTTGCAACAGGAATTTGAAATACATTGGTCATAGGCGTTGTATAACTGTTTTAAAAAATTTGGAGAATCCTGGGTGTTGAAATCCACAAGTTTTAAAGTTGTCAAGTTTGGGGACCCCTGACTTAGAGGCTCTAAAGAAATTCTTAAGAAGTAGCAAATGCAAATTTACTTAGTAACTTTACTTTTCTGAATGTTGCTTCTTGGAGTACAATGCTATTTGTGCGTTTGTAGATGACTCCATATGAGTCATGATTAGCTGTTAATCTGTTTTCTGAATACCAATAAAACTTAAAGGAAGGTCTTGCCAACTTGATTAAAAGTTTGAGGAGAATTATATTACAAAACACAAGTACGTGTTAAGGAAAAGAAGATATTATAAGGGGATGTTCTAACTAGTTGATCCAGTTTTGAAGCTTCTAGATTAATCTGTTTTCCCTATTAGGATTCTGAATTGGACAGTTTTCAAGGGTTCTCGGGTGGATTGCAGTTGGACAGATTTATGAAATGTTGACCTTTGCCAAACAGCAACTTCTCATCTGTCAAGAGGATGAGCTTAATTAGTGACTTAATTAGTGGAAGAGATATAAAGTAGATTCTTTTTCCTCCGTTTTTTTTTCCAGCATAGCATTAGGAATCTCCCAAACCTCATATTTGGTTGGCTTTTTGAAACAAAAGGGATTATTGAGCCAAGATTTCAACATCATGAGGATGGGAAAATATATAACGGCATGTCCCAAAAGTGCTTTTCAAAAGACAACTGGTCTGTCTTAGTTCTTTTCTTTGAAAACATCTCGCTTCTCATCTCACAGCTAAGAAGCTGCTTCCGTTCAGAACGGAACTTCTCATCCAACAAGCTTCTTCAGTTGTGAAGAAGTTCAGAACTGAAAAAAATTGCAACTGAAGAAGCTTGTTGGATGAGAAGCAAAAGATTTTCAAGGGAAAAAAATCAGAGTCTAGTTGCCTTTTGGAAAAGCACCTTTGGGACAACCATGACCTGGGTGCTTGAAAATCTTGATAGATATAATGACATAAGGGTATAGAGCTCATATTTATTTGCATTCACAGTATAGGCTTTGAAAGTTATTCTCAAACCTAATTTACCTGCTGTAAATTGGAATATATACTAGTCAGGCGCTTTAGTTGAGGTAGCATGCTGAAGATCTTGAGCACTTTGCATTTTAAAAGTGATATATTAATGGGTTATAGTAATTTCCGTATTTTGTCACTGCAGTTGCATTTTATGAAATTAAATTATGGTTCTTAGTTAAGGAATGACAGTTTGTAGATTATTAAAAAACCTAAATACATGTAAGAGAAATCTGTAATATTTTTGCTTATCTTTGGAAACATCAGGAGCAAAACTAGATGGCTATGATGAACCCTGGTTAAGTCAGTTTGTTTCTGAAATACAGTGTTCTGGTTAATCATCTCTTTATATTCATTTATTGTTTAACAATAATCTGATTTTCCAAACTTTCTACTGTGAGAAGAAAGGCATTCAGTTATTGATTTTGGAAAGTTGTGTTTATTTAAGACCTATTTCTGTTCTGCATTAAAGCTGTAGTCTATCCTCCAGTCAAATGAATAATTGTGTTGATTGTGGGTAATTTCCTTCTAAAACTTTTTTATCTATATTGAATATGAACATATTTCCTTTTTAGATGAAATCATCAGAGAAAAAACCACAGAACGAGACAAGGAAAAGCAGAAAGAAAAAAAGAAGCACAGATTAATGTCTGAAATTAAAAAAGAGAATGGAGAAATGAAATTATTTCAGAAAGGTGAGCACAGTATTTTTCACAACAGGATGATGGTATATACATGAAAGATTTTTTTTTTAAATGTGTATGTTCTTAAATATATTTAATTCTGATTCGTTCTAGTTTTTCTTAATGATAAGTGGCAATATGACCTGTGGTTCCCATTTCAAGTTCGTAAGAGAAAGGGTATCATGTTTATCTAGTTACATGTCTAAAAGCTTTAATTTACAAACGGTAATTTGAATACCAAAACAATTATGTGAGAATTAAAGGCAAGTGCACAATAATTGTGCTTGAAATCTGAATTCGTGGCACCTTTCTAGGATCCCACTCTTATATGAAACCAAATATTTGTAAAATGGGTCATATAGGTTCCCCCCTCTTTTCCTCTTCTGTTGAGTTTCTGTAACAGTGACTACAGTATTATTTTGGATTGGCTACTAAATTGGTTTTCAGTTGTTGGTATATGGTAGTCTTGAATTAATCTGAAATTGGAAATCTATTGTGGGATGAAATTTGTGTGGAACTTTTATTCTCCCATACTACATTGATGAATTCATACTTTATTGCCATGAAAAATGCTTTGCAAAGATAACCTGACAATTAAACTGTAGATAATCATCCCGGGAAGCTCAACCTGGGTATAAAGATGATTTTGCACGGTTAGTGGCCAAATTGAAGATAATATATCCAAATTTTTAAAATGCAGTTAATCATTTAGAATGGCAAGGGAGGAATGACTACTATTAAATACGTAATCATATTAGAGCCAAGAGCCAATGCAGCCACAAGCCGCAACCAAACAAGGCGCCACCATCTTACTTCCAAATTGAAAATTATTCAGTTGAAAATCAATGGCAGTAATGTAATAATATGAATGGTCCAAACTCATGATTTACAAAAGACTCTGTTACATGTAGGTTTTATCCAAACATCAGACCAATCCGCCAAACCAAAATCCATAAGTATTTGAAGTCCATCAAGCCAAAATCTGGTAAAACGCTGCTAATCTGGATAGAAGGGTTTAATCAGTATTGATTTTACCCCCTAAAACCTTGACTGAGTCCAACTTATTTGAAAAAGTACTTCAGTCTTAGATGTTTTTCATTTTGTGTGCTGGTACATTTATGCCCTGCTGATACAAGCACATAAGGCAGCTTACAACAATAGTAGAAAAATCTTAAATGCACTAAAATCAAAATTGAAATCATTCCAATGAACTTCTGCCAATGATGGAAGCGTCTTCTGAAGCTGCTCGCTCGTGATCTAAATACAGGGCAGGTTCGTAGCAGGAAAGGCAATCCCTTAGGCCATAAGTCATTTAGCATTTCCAAAGCCAATATCTTACAACATCTTTCATAACTGGGTAGATAATTGGCAGTTCTAATGCATGCCAGGATTGTGCTTTCATTCAGGATTCAATCCTGATAGCAGCTGTTTCACCACAGGTTAGCCTGGCAATAGAAGGCAGAACTTTGAGGCTGCAGAGTCCACCTTTGGTGAACCCTTGACTTCCTTGTGTGGGCTGTCACTTGAAAGATAGGAGGGCAACTAACTGCCTCTGCCTTTCTTACCCTGCAGTAGCCAGGTTCCAGTCTCCTCTGATACGTCCTTCTGCAGATAATACTTGGCTTTCAGTTATCCGTTTAGTGACCATTCAAAGTTACAAGGGCATTGAAAAAAGTGACTGATGGCCGTTTTTTTACACCTACCCTCACAACATCCCCATGGTCATGGGATCAAAATTCAGTTCCTTGGCAACTGACTCATTTATGACGGTCGTAGTGTCCCATAGCTTTGTGATCCCCTTTTGGGACCTCCTGACAAGCAAAGTCAATGGGGAAGCCAGATTCACTAATCTGTTACTAACGTTAACAATTACAAAATGGGGCAAAACCCACTTAACAACGGTCTCACTTAGCAACAGAAATTTTTGGGCTCAATTGAGGTTGTAAGTTGAGGACTACCTGTACCAATCCTGCCATTGTATCTGCATAAAGACAAACACAA